AAAACACAAGAGATTAACAAGGAGTAATGGAATAGTCATCTTAGAATATACCTCCAAATTTCAAATTGTGATAAAAATATTCAAATCAAATTTAAAAAGCATTTCTTAAAATATATTTTGGCTTAAAAGTTTTACACAGAAAGATAAAGGGGAAAAATCTGGGTAACTTTTTTAGAAGCTTTATTGAGATATTTTTCTATAGTTTAAATTTTAGTTCAATAATTCTGAATAGATATAAGTGACAAAATTACAAATACAAACAAAATGCAGCAAATGTAATACTAGAAAAAAAAAGAATGGTTATTTATATAGTTTTCACATTTATGACAGTAAAGGATATTTAACAAAACTTTAATGGCCTTGACCATCCTTTCACATTTTTTTCTTATTAAGGCTTCATCTAGATTTTGTTCTGTGAACTGCAGCTGATCAAGGATTGTAGGCAGCAGAAGGGACACAAAATGGTCAGCTGCTGGACAGTTAGCAGTGTCTATGACATCCTGGAGAATTAACCATCACCAATGATTAAAGATGAAATATAGAATGCAGAGATAGTCATTGCTGAATTGTAACACCCTTACATTTTTTACACGTACTTCGATACTTCATTGACTTGAGTCTCCTACTTAAAAATTGTTATTTAAAATTTACCCTTTTATCCAATTTTGAAGGCTATTATGGTTTTTTCTCAAACTGTAAAGTGTTGTAAGCAAGACATTTTTTGATAGACTATGTGATTTAAAATTATTCTAAACCAAAAGTATTTACTGAAAATATCCTGAATTTGCTAAATGCAATTATAATAATTAATTAATAATTAAATAACAGACATTGGTCTTAATAGTTTACAACCACAAATAATTTCCATCAAGAATTTCAAAGAGATTTTTAAATGCTAAAACTGATTGTGAAATAGTCAAGACTAAGATAAAATATAAAGGATAATTTGTGCATAATCCTTAATAAACATACTTGATCACTCATATACATATGTTTGTGCATAGGATCCACTTATAATGGGTGAAATATTTTAGGAAGACACTACGGTAGGCAGAATGGGTATAAAAACAGGGAAAATAGCAAAGAATGCTAAATGGCCCAGATAGTAAAATCTATGAGAATGTAGAGATTTTTATTGTATCTTAAATGCCTAGCACTTAAGTCTGGTATGCTCCACTCCATTTCACTTACCGAATCCAACATTCCCATATTAATCCACTCAACAGCCTAATAAAGGCATTGGACAGCATCTACTGAGATGCAGAGAATGTGACTGCTGCAAGAATAGCCATACAACAAACCATACAAATCTTGTCAATACCTTTACTCATTACACTGAAACAAGTACTGTATACATAAGCTATTCAGTGAAAAAAGGGAAAACACTAATATAGATGCATTTGGCAGAAAAAAACCTCAGTAGCTGAATGATAGGGAGTCTAGCATGACGGTTAGTAATTGAGAAGTTTTCCTCAAGTGTATGAATAATTGGAAGTTTACTATGAATGTTTTTGAAAACAAATTAACTGTGAGTCATGAAAGTAGAAAAGTGAATTCTAGATCATCCTATTACCTCGAACAATTCCTTGAACAACTCCAATGCTAAAACAGAACAGTTTTCTGATCCGTCCAAAGGTTGGCTTAACCAACGAAGTAGAGCCACAGTAGGTTCTGAACATTTAGGACGGCTTCCCAGAATGTTGCCAGATGGAGAGTGTTCAAACATCATCTGAGTGAGCACATGGCGTAGCTGAGTCACTGAACAGAAGGCAAGAAGTAATTCTAAAACCTGTGTAATATAAAGTCTTCATTAAATGTCAATTTCACTGGACTTTAATATACAAAGCAAGCATACAATGAAACTGAAAATGCCATATATTTACCTAAAAAAAACCTTAAAAGTAGCTTCCAACTTTTCTTTCAGTGCTATTTTTCAAATGTGTGATTAGGTTGCAGAAGGTTACAAAGAAATTTGTTAATGGTGCTTACCTCTGATAAGCAGGACTGTGAGAACCACAGAGAAAAGGGCAACTTCAACGGAAGTTATACTTCTTCCATAGTACTTAACATTTTTAAAATACAAACACGTTTTGTTTTTAAAATGATAAAAAAACTAAAAAATAATATTAGAATTAAGAATACTTGCTATAATCCTAAAATTCAAGAATTGCTATTAAGCACACAGGGAT